ATCATCATCACCATCAGCATCATCAGCATCAGCAGCATCATCAGCACCATCAACATCATCATCAGCAGCATCATCATCACCATCATCACCACCACCACCACCATCAGCAGCAGCATCATAATCATCAACATCATCGTTATCGTCATCGTCATCTGCATCATCATCATTCTCATTCCTCATCCTCATCCTCATCATCATCATCAGCATCATCATCATAATCCTGGTTGCTGGTTCCTGATGGCATGAGATCCCTGCGAGTGATGTCTACCCTCCTCCTCCTCCTTCTCCTCCTTTTTCTCCTCCTCCTCCTGTTCCTCCTCCTCCTTATTTTCCTGCTCCTCCTGCTCCTCCTTCTGCTCCTCCTTCTCCTCCTCCTCCTTCTCCTACCCCTCCCCCTCCTCCTCCCCCTCCCCCTCCTTCTCCCTCTCCCTCCTCCGCCTTATCCTCCTCCTCCTCCTCCTCCTCCTCCTCCTCCTCCTCCTCCTCCTCCTCCTCCTCCTCCTGGCGAGGCGGGGTAGCTCGCGCAGCACCCCCCCTGCACCCATAATCCAGCCCACCTCCGCGAAGAACGGGGAAAGGTGGGCCAGCTCCAACAAGCCCCCGAGCCCTGGGGCCCGGAGGGTGGCGCCGGCTCCGCGCCGCAGCCAGGCCTCTCCGTCACCGCCCGGGACGCTGGGCAGTGGCTTCGGACACCGCACGACGTTCGATATCGGCCGATTCCAAGCCGATGGCAGCGTTCAGCCTTGAACGCCCCGAGCCCAGACCATCGCCAAGCAAAGGTGGGCGCGCCCGCCTCGCGCGGACGACGAAGAGCACGAGCACCACCCGACGAAGAGCGGCAACGGCACGCCGCTCACCAACCGGACGGCGCCGCCGTTTCCAGACTTCGGAGGCGCAGCGACCCGGAGTCCAGAGGCACATTCGGGGTCCCAAAATCCCGCTGCTTCTCGCTCCAGCTCGCTGGTGGGAATGGCGGCGAAGCTCGCCGCCAGGCCAACTGCTCCTCAAGTCCTCTCGCTGCTCTGCAGCCCTGGTCTCCTAACCTCCTCGCGGGCATGGGCCGCAGTGGCTCCACGTGAGACTGCACAGCTGCTGCCCTGTGCGCCAGAACCTGGAGACTCGCCCAAGAGAATGCTCGTCCCGAGCCTTGGTGCCCTTGCGCTCAGGCTGCATGGCCAGCCGCGGCTCTCGCCGTTCAGGTTGACAATCGCCTGGCCGGCAACCGCCGAGACCACGACCAGCCTCAGCGGCGCCTCACATGACTTGGAAGGTGTGCAGCGTAGGATCTGCGGGGATAGGAATCCTCGCCCTTGGAGGTTGAACGACGGCTGCGGCCAGAAACGTGACAGGGGCGCTGGCATGTCCTTAATTACCCCCCCAACCCTTCTCCCTTCCACCCCTCCACCTCCCCATGCATCCCCCCACTCCTGATCCCCCTCTTCCCCCTTCCCCCGCACTGCACCCACACGACGTCCAAAGCGTGCGGCAGTTTGGCTGTCGGGTGGCCGTTTCGCTTGGCGAATGATGCCGAATCAAACTCCTGACGGCCAGGGTGTGCACGACGTGTTCGGCCTCTTCCTCCTTCCCCTACCCCTCCTCCTCCTCGTCCTCCTCCTCCTCCTCATCCTCCTCATCCTCATCCTCAGCCTCGTCATCATCATCCTCATCTGTCGTCCGTCCCCTCTTCCTTCCTCGTCCTCTTCCCTCTTCCCATGTGAGGCGTGGCAACGTTTACAGGGCACCTGAATACAAGACGGGCAATTCAGTGCTGAATACATCGATGGTGACTGAATTACCGTGCCAAGGTTGTGTTGTTCTGTGCCGTGCTGAGTTGAGATGCGCCATGCCACGATAGTGATTTGTAGCGCTACGGATCGAGTCGTTCTTAGCATCCGAATCATGACCGGACTGATCTGGATCTTAAGCTTGAGCCGCATGAGTGCATAGCTGGCCCAGAGCTGGATGCAGTCGAAACGTGCGGGACGTTCCATCAGCTCGAGCTCAAGGTCCGACTCAATTCCGAAATGGTATGAGACGACACGGGGCGCAGGGCGCATGGACGCGCAACGGTATGTGCCAGGAGCGCACTAAGGGATGTTCCAGGGGAGGTGTCAAGGGACGTACACCGGCAACGGGACGTGCCGAGGCGCGCGCCATGGGGTGTGCCAGGGGACGGTATGCCAAGGGACGTCCACACGGCAAGCAGTATAGAAATGTGAAGCACAGCACCGGTTTCAAGAAAACTGATTAGGCGACGGGCAATTGCAATGCTGAGTGCATCGATGGTGATTTACCGTGCCAAAGGTTGCGTTGTTCTGAGCCGTGCTGAGTTGAAATGCGCCGTGCCGCGATTGCGATTTGTAGCGTTACGGATCGAGTCGTTCTTAGCATCCGAATCCTGACCGAACTGATCTGGATATTACGCTCGAGCTGCCTGAGCGCATAGCTGGCCCAGAGCTGGATGTGCAGTCGAAACGTGCGGGACGCTCAATCAGCTCGAGCTCAAGGTCCGACTCAGCTCTGAAACGGAACGAGACGACACGGGGCGCAGGGCGCATGGACGCGCCACGGGATGTGCCAGACGCGCGCTAGGGGATGCGCGGTTGGGGACGTGTCAGGGGGCGTGCCCTAGACGCGTCAGGGATCTGCCACGGGACGTACCAAGGCGCGTGCCATGGGGCGTACCAGGGAACAGGCAGGGGGAACGCCAGGGGACGAGCGAGGGAACGCGACAGAAAACGAGCCAGGGAACGTACCACGGAACGCGCCGAGGAGCGTGCCAGGGGACGTGCCAGGACACGTCACGCCAGGAAGGGACGCGCCAGGGGGCGCGTCACGGACGGGCAGGGGGACGCGCCACGGAACAAGCAGGAGGATGCCCAAGCTGCGCTGTGCCATGCGACGTTGGGCTGCGATGCACTCTACTGCGACAAGCGTATCGCTGGAGACATCCTCCACAAATCCTCTTGTTGGACATCTGCCTGGGCGACCTGGGCACGTGAAAACAAGCGCTTCGCTCAAGACATCCTAACGAGATCCCCATGGTAGACATCCGCCTGGGCGACCTGGACACGTGAAAATAAGCGCTTCGCTCAAGACATCCTGAACAAATCCTCACGTTAGACATCCGCCTGGGCGATCCGGACACGTGAAAACAAACGTTTCGCTCAAGAGATCCTGACTAAATCGTCACGCTAGAAATCCGACAGGGCGACCTGGACACGTGAAAACAAGCGCTTCGCTCAAGACATCCTAAACACATCCTCATGTTAGGCATCCGCCTGGGCGACCTGGACACGTGAAAACAAGTGTTTCCTTCGATACATCCTCAACACATCCTCATACTACACGGGGGGTACTATAGTTTTGACCATAAGACGTCATGCTGTCGACGCCCCCTGCCCCCCCGTAGAATCTTAGCGACATGTTTTGGGTCGGGCGGCGGTTCGACTCCGATGGGCTCTCACCCTGTAAGAATATAATAATATATATATATATATATATATATATATATATAACAGGGTGATAATTACTCCGTCCCATTTACAATAGGGCCGGAAAACACTCCGACTTGAACCCATTCACAGTAAACCACTCCGCTTGGGTCACGTTTGATCGTCCGTGCCATCATCCCCATCGACCCTGTCCTTATCATGCCAACGCGATGTTCCATTGGATTCCTTGTTGCATTGATGCTGTGAGACCCTGGGCATCCCTCTCCAATGCGGTCGCTCTCGGTTCACTGGTTGGCCGTCCCAGAGGGCCCACAAAGGCTCGCGAATCCGCATCAAGGCACCTTTACATCCTGATCGGTCCTCCGCGGCACGCGTGACCAGCGAGGCAATTCTCATCTTATGGTCAAAAACTTTAGCACCCCCGAAGTAGACATCCGCCTGGGCGACCTGGACACATGAATGCAAGCGTTTCGCTCGGGACATCCTCAAAACATCCTCATGTTAGATATCCGCCTGGGCGACCTGGATACGTGTAAGCACGCGTTTCGCTCAAGACATCCTCAACAAATCCTCATGTTAGACCTGGACACATGAAAACATAGACGAGCGCGTTCCACTACTCGCAAAGTGACTACTCGCAAATGGCTTGGATGCGCTGGGGGGATCTACGAGAAATTAAATCGAATCAAACATGTGTTTTTCGGGCGTTTGCGAGGAGGCATTTTGCGAGTAGTGGAACGCGCTCGGTGGAAACAGGCGGTCGAGACATGCCCAACACATCTTCATGCTAGACATCTTCCTGGGCGACCTGGACACGAGGAAGCAGGCGTTTATCTCGTCAGACATCCGCCTGGGCGACCAGGACACGTGAAAACAAGCGATTCCCTCGAGCCTCCCTAAACTCTGCAAAACGAGCGGTTCGCCTGAGACGTCCTCAACAAATTACATACAGCAGGCGCTTCGCTCGGGACATCCTCAACCTGCTGATCCGATGGCCCCCCTCATTCCCATCATTCATCGAAGGAGGATTCCACCCGAGGGCAGCAGAAGACAACGGAAAGAGAACCCTGGGCCGGAGCCCCCCCCAGGGAAAAACGGCGCAACGGGAGGCGAGACGAGACGAGACGAGACGGGGGCAACGGGAGGCGAGGCTCTGCGGAATCCTGCCCCTGCCGCCGCCTCTGCGGAGCGGGCCTGCCGGTTGGAGCTTCAAGACTGGCGGAAGAGCGCTTTGGGATATGCTGCTGCCGTGTCGCTGTGGGGACAGGCCTCTGCTGCTGTCGGCGTGGCGCCGTGGCCGCCCCAACAGGCTGAGCTGCTCTGGATTGCTTCGCGACGTTATCTGGGCACTCGGCTCGTCCTCACTCCTCTCTCCTCCCATACCTTCTCCTCCTCCTCCTCCGCCCCCCCTCCTCCCGCGCGCTCTGCACCGCCCCAGAGCGCACGGGCTGCCCACCGCCGCAGGGACTGCAGCGCACGCCCGCCTGGGCCTCGAGAGCGCTCCGCGGCAGCAGCGGCTGCCGCTCAGGGGCGGCGACGCGGTGCGCTCCCCGCAGAACATGACGATGTTGACGACGGCACCGCCGACGATCATCGCCTCCGAGCGCCGCTGCGCGCTTCGCTCGGAGAGGGCGGCGGCGGAAGGGGGCGGACGGCTGGACACACCACGAGGACGGGGAGGGGTCCGGCGGCCATCGCCGCGCCAGCTTGTCGGAGACCTGTTCGGCACCGCTCGCGGCGTTCGCTGGTTACGCATGCGGCGGCAGAAAGAAGCATGGGGGAGGAAAGAGGAGGAGAGGAGATGCAGGAGGAGGGGGATTCCAGGAGGCCCCAGGAGGCCCCAAGGAGGCCCCAAGAGGCCCCCAAGCGGCCCCCAAGAAGTCTCAAGAGGCTGCCAAGAGGCTGCCAAGAGACCCCAAGAGGCCCCAAGAGGCCCTCCTCGGCCAGAAGGCCAAAATCACTGATTTTACCAAGATTTTGGCTACAGTTTTGCCTCCTGAGGACTACGGCCCCTCCTTTGATCGATCTCCTCCAAGATAGCCCCCAGATGGCCCCCGAGGCCCCGAGGCTCCCAAGGGTGCCCCAAGACGGCCCCGAGAGGTGCCCAGTTGGCCCCGAGAGGCCCCCAAGAGGCTCCCAAGAGACCCCCAAGAGGCCCCAAGAAGCTCCCCAGAGGTAGCCAAGACTGCCACAAGAACCCCAAGACACCCCGAGAGGACTCCAAGAAGCTCTGAGAAGAAATCCGAGAAGACTCCGAGAGGCATCCAAAAGGTTTCTGGCCTTTCTACTCGTCCTCCTCCTCCTCCTCCTCCTCCTCCTCCTCCTCCTCCTCCTCCTCCTCCTCCTCCTTTTCCTTCAGCTACTCCTCCTCCTCCTTTTCCGCCTCCGCCTCCTCCTCCTCATCCTCCTCCTCCTCCTGCTCCTCATCATCAGCATCATCATCATCATCATCACCACCACCACCACCATCATCATCATCATCATCATCATCATCATCAGCAGCAGCATCATCATCATCATCAGAAGAAGAAGAAGCTGCAGCCATCATCATCATCATGATCAGCATCATCATCATCATCATCATCATCCTCATCATCATCATCATCATCATCATCATCATCATCATCATCATCATCAGCATCATCAGTATCATCATCATCATCATCATCATCATCATCATCATCATCATCATCATCGTCATCATTATCATCATCATCAGCATAATCATCATCATCAGCATCAGCATCAGCATCATCATCATCATCATCATCATCATCATCATCATCATCACCATCAGCATCATTATCATTATCATCATCATCATCATCATCGTCATCATCATCATCATCATCATTATCATCATCATCGGCAGCATCATCCGCATCATCATCAGCAGCGTCATCATCCTCATCATCGGCAGCATCATCCTCCTCATCATCAGCATCGTATCATTAACCTCGTCATAATCATCATCAGCATCAGCATCATTATCATCAACAACATCATCATCATCGTCGCCATCATCATCAGCATCATCATAATTATCACCATCATCATCAGCAGCAGCATCATCATCCTCATCATCATCATCATCATAATTATCATCATCAGCATCATCATCATCAACATCAGCATCATCATCCGAACCCTCATCATCATCATCATCATCAGCAACATCAGCAGCATCAGACTAATCATCATCAGCATCATCAGCATCATCATCAGCTGCATCATCATCATCATCATCATCATCCTCATCATCCTCATCAGCATCATCATCCTCATCAGCACCAGCATCATCATCAGCATCATCAGCATAACCATCATGAGCATCATCATCAGCATCGTCATCATCGTCATCAGCAGCATCATCAGCATCCATCAGCTATTATCCATCATGCATCATGCATCACCCATCATCATAATCCGCCTCCTCATCAGCAGCAGCATGATCGTCGTCGCCATCAGCACCATCAGCAGCAGCAGCATCAGCATCAGCATTATCATCAGCATCGTCATCACCATCAGCATCATCATTATCATCATCAGCAGCATCATCAGCATCATCAGCATCATCATAATCGTCATCAGCATCATCAGCAGCATCATCAGCATCTTCGTCGTCCAATTCCTCATTCCTCTTCCCTCTTCCCTCTCCCCCTCGCTCTCCCTCCTCCTCCTCCTCCTCCGATTCCTCCTCCATCCTCTCCCTCTTGAGGTATGACGTCTCACCCTGCCCTTTATTCCACTGCATGCTCCTTCGCATCCCTGATGCGGGCAACTCATCTGGGCGTCGTTTCTGAATGGACTGGAGAGATTACTTTTAGTCAGCGGACGCGGGCGAGCACGCTGGCGGCGTGTCAGGTCAAAGCGGGCTACGCAGAGACGAATTGGCAAAGAAAACGCGGGGAAACCAAACAGAGCGACGGGCGAGGCGACAACTAAGCGCGGCCGAGGCCTCAGCTGGGGGGCTGCTGGGACTGAACTGGGGAGGTTACGTGAAGCGTCTGGAATAGGAGTCGGGGTTCGTGTGGTTCGTAGAATGGTGTGCCAAGGCGACCAGAACTGGACGCCCAGAACTGGAACCTGCTGACTCGCCACACCCACAACTCGGCTCGAGCCCTCGGCGGGCCAGCCTGGCGCGACCCGTCGACCCGATTCCTTTGGCGGACCAGCCTGGGCCCGTGCCTCCTCCTCCTCCTCCTCCTCCTCCTCCTCCTCCTCCTCCTCCTCCTCCTCCTCCTCCTCCTCCTCCTCCTCCCCCTCCCCCTCCCCCTGCCCCTCCTCCTCCCCCTCTCCCTCCTCCTCACCCTCCTCCTCCTCCTCCTCCTCCTCCTCCTCCGTCGACGTGGGCGATGCATCGGCGGCGTCGGCGTGGCGCATTTCGGGTTCCACACCGAGCCGCATCGCCGATGCATCGGCGATGCGGTGCGAGCCTCCGACCCCGTCCACTCCGACCCCATCAGGGAGGCCTGGTGATTTGGAGGAAGACGTAAAAAAAATATGTTTTAAAAAATGAAGACATGCTCCGAAAACGCCAAAAAATACTTTAAAAAATTGTCCCGGGGCTATCTTTTGACCGTTTTTTGATATTCCTCCTGTAGAGGGACAAGCCCGACGTCAGGCTGGTGAGCGGGGGGCCGGGCAGGAGGTCGGGGGGTTCGGGAGGAACGAAAGGAGGGGATAGCAAAGGGTAGGGTAGAGAATCGGCTCATGTAGCTGATCTTCCCAGCGCCTCCGAGCGCCGGGAGGCGCCCATGTATCGAGGAATGGGCCCGGCGGCGGGGACGACACCAGCTGCATGCAGCAGATTGCGTAACCCTCCCTTTCCCTACTCCCCCCTTTCGTTCGGCCCGAGGGATACTGAAAGTGCCCCTGGCCCAACGCCGCCGCAGCTTGCCGCGTGACTCGGGAGGTCTGGGCCCCTGCGCAGCCCCGAGCCCTGCCACCCCCGCAGGACCGCGGAGCCGTAGGCGTCGGCAGCCTGGCCGGCGTCGGCAGCCTGGCCGACCCCACGCCGCCAGTCGGGTTGCTGGAAGTGCCCCTGTCCCAAGGTGCCCCGAGCTCTTCGTGCAAGTTTGGAGCCCCTGGGGCTCTCTGGGCCTCGCGAGGGGTGCTCTGGAGGCCGTCTGGGCCTCCCTGGAGATCCTGGGGGCACCTCGGACCAGGGGCACTTCCAGCAACACCCGACACGGGGCTCGAAGCGACGCGGGGGTCCCTGGAGTCGAAACTGAACGCGAGAGAGAGAGAGACGAAGAGAGACAGAGAGGGGGAGAGGGGAAGAGAGAGAGAGAGAGAGCAGGGGGGATGCGGGGGAGGTGGGGAAGAAGATACCGTCAGAAGCACGCGCTGCCAGCCACAGTTCTGGCCCTCTCGGAGGGCGCTGAGGGCCGAGGACCAAGGAGGATCTTCGGGGAGCTGCTTTTAACTAGGCCCTGTGGGACCGAAACTTTCACATGAGGGGTGCTGCTCTGACCCATAGGGTACCTACTGAGGTGGGAGCACAGGTCAGCAGGATACAGCCCCGCTAGTGTCGCGAAGGGCGGCTTTCGAAAGCCAGCGCGCTGCAAGACCCAGCCACACCACGGACTGCCTCTGCGACGTTCGCCGAGCCTGCTGCGCCCAGTCGCGGCGTCGGCACGGCTGACCAACCCTGACTTGGCGGCGAGCGCGGGGGGGAAGCGAGAAGGAGCGGGCCTTGTCAGAGGGTTCGGGGGTCCCCCGGCCCTCTGACAGGTTCCCTGAGCCTTCCCCGAAGACAGAAAGACTCCTCAGAAGGCGCGAAGGCCTCTGAGAGGTCCCGCCGCCTTCGGAGAAGGCCTTCTCTGTCCCACTTCCCCCCCCCCCTCGGTCGACGCCGACCGACACCGCGACGGCCAGCCGCTTCGCAGCCCCGCGCCGCCTGCGACAGCGGCACGGCCTCCTGCGTGCTGAAGCCGCAGAGGAGGAGCAGCAGCGGCACGTAGACCCCTCCGGGCCGCACGGCGGGGGCGGAGCAGAAGGAGGAGTGGACGAGGAGAGCCCAGGATGCCGTGGGACAGCAACAGTCGACGACGACAACAACAGCAACAACAACAACAGCAACAGCAGCAGCAGCAGCAGCAGCAGCAACAACAACAACAACAACAACAACAACAACAACAACAACAACAACCACAACCACAACCACAACCACAACAACAACAACAACAACAACAACAACAACAACCACTAAAACAACAAAAACAACAAAAACAACAACAACAACAACAACAACAACAACAACAACAACAACAACAACAACAATTACTAGCACGTGGGGACACTCCGTTCTCACCAGTGCCAGGGTTTTCATAGGAGGCGGGCAATACCCCCACTTTGTGGGGGGGCCGGTTCAAGCTCTACCAAATTTCCAAACGACTCTTCGCCACCACCCACACCCAGCTTCCCGCCCTATGACGTTCGGACACTTCACTTCGTGGCATGCGGACGACCGTGGCTACTATTCAGGGCCCCGCGGCCGACGACGACGGCGTGCGCGCGCGAAGAAAAAACGAATGTGTCCCGCATGGTATTATTTGACAGGGATGATGGCCCTGGCAGGTGCGCAACCGTTGTTGCAGAAGTTCGAAAAAGTTGCTCGCAAAAGCCCGTTTGACAGAAATGTTTAAAAAGTGTTGGGTTTCCTACGAATCCGCAAGAGCGCGCGGGATGAAATTTTGACAATTTTTTTTTTGAAAAACCATTGGTTTTTTGATGTTTTTATGTTAAAATCGCTACGAACACTAAGGTTTTGGAAGGATTTCGTCTTGCGCGCGCGAATGTCCACTTTACCTTATTTTTTGCAAGGGATTCTTGAAGTTTGGTTATGTTAGAACAAGAAATGTCCACTTTAGCTTATTTTTTGCAAGGGAAAACGGGGGACAACAAAACAACCGGATCCGGACACCCACGTTTTGCCTGAGACTTCCTCACGAAAATGATGAAAATGTGGCTGCGGCCTAGGCGCGGCGAGGGGGCCGCGCACCAGGGGTCCCAACAATAATTATTCTTTAGAAGAAATAATGTTCAACAACAACAACAACAACAACAACAACAACAACAACAACAACAACAACAACAACAACAACAATGACGACGACGACGACGACGACGACAACAACAACAACAACGACGACGACGACGACAACAACAACAGCAACAGCAAGAACAACAAGGTCGAAACGTGCACTGCCCACCCGTCCACGGCCCGACAGCCCACGCGTTCACCCACTGGGCGAACACGTGGACCCACTACCCCCCCAACACCAACACCAACACCAACACCAATTCCATAGAATCCCTACGGAATCCTATAGGATCTCTACGGAATCCTATAGGCTCGGTATGGAATCTTATAGGATCCGTATGAATTCCTATAGTATCCCTATGGAATCATAAAGGATCCATATGGAATCCCATAGGATCCCTACTCTACGTATTCCTGCGACTGGAAACGATGTGCGCACCGGCGAAGCGACCTTCGGGCATCCTTCGGAAGCCATGCGGAATCTTAAGACTCCCTAGGGACTCCGTTGGAAATTCCTGGTGATTCCTAGGATCCCATACAGAGCCTACACGCCCTGTGTGGGATCTTATACAAAGCCTACACGGCCTGTACGGGATCCTAGACAAAGCCTACACGCCCTGTATTGGATCCTATACGGGGCCTACACGCCCTGAATGGGATCCTATACACAGCCTAAACGGCCTGTATGGGATCGTACACACAGCCTACACGGCCTGTATGGGATCCTACACAAAGCCTACACGCCCTGTATGGAATCGTATGCAGAGCCTACACGTCCTGTATGGGATCCTATACAGAGCGTACACGGCCTGCTTGGGATCCTACACAGAGCCTACACGGCCTGTACGGGATCCTCTACAAAGCCTACACGGCCTGCGTGGGATCCTATACAAAACCTACACGGCCTGTATGGAATCCTATACAGAGCCTACACGGCCTGTGTGGGATCCTATACAGAGCCTACACGCCCTGTGTTGGATGCTATACAGAGCCTACACGGCCTGTACGGGATCCTAGACAAAGCCTACACGCCCTGTTTTGGATCCTATACGGGGCCTACACGCCCTGAATGGGATCCTATACACAGCCTACACGGCCTGTATGGGATCCTACACAGAGCCTACACGCCCTGTATGGGATCCTGTGGGCCAAGGCCACGATTCTCGGGAGGGGTGTCCCAAAATGAAGTTTCGGTGGGGTTCCCTGCGGGGCAGGGTCCACGATCCTCGAGAGGGGTGTGCCGAATGAGGTTTCGGTGGAGCTCCTTGTGGCGCCAGGGCCACGATCCTCGAGAGGGGTGTGCCGAAATGATGTTTCGATGGAGTTCCCTGTGGGGCCAGCGCCACGATCCTCGAAAGGGGTGTGCCGAAATGAAGCTTCGGTGGAGCCCCTTGTGGAGCCAGGGCCACGATCCTCGAGAGG